CCTGTTCCCTGTGGTTAACACCTGTTCCCTGTGGTTAGTACCTGTTCCCTGTGGTTAACACCTGTTCCCTGTGGTTAGTACCTGTTCCCTGTGGTTAGCACCTGTTTCCCGTGGTTAGCACCTGTTCCCCGTGGTTGGCACCTGTTCCCTGTGGTTGGTACCTGCTCCCTGTGGTTAACACCTGTTCCCTGTGGTTAGCACCTGTTCCCTGTGGTTAACACCTGCTCCCTGTGTGTTAACACCTGTTCCCTGTGGTTGGCACGTGTTCCCTGTGGTTGGCACGTGTTCCCTCTGGTTGGCACCTGTTCCCTGTGGTTGGCACCTGTTCCCTGTGTGTTAACACCTGTTCCCTGTGGTTGGCACCTGTTCCCTGTGTGTTAACACCTGTTCCCTGTGGTTGGTACCTGTTCCCTGTGGTTGGCACCTGTTCCCTGTGGTTGGCATCTGTTCCCTGTGGTTAACACCTGTTCCCTGTGGTTAGCACCTGTTCCCTGTGGTTGGTACCTGTTCCCTGTGGTTAACACCTGTTCCCTGTGGTTAGCACCTGTTCCCTGTGGTTGGTACCTGTTCCCTGTGGTTAACACCTGTTCCCTGTGGTTAACACCTGTTCTCTGTGGTTAACACCTGTTCCCTGTGTGTTAACACCTGTTCCCTGTGGTTGGCACCTGTTCCCTGTGGTTGGTACCTGTTCCCTGTGATTAACACCTGTTCACTGTGGTTAACACCTGTTCCCTGTGGTTAGCACCTGTTCCCTGTGGTTAACACCTGCTCCCTGTGGTTAACACCTGCTCCCTGTGGTTGGCACCTGTTCCCTGTGGTTGGCACGTGTTCCCTGTGGTTGGCACGTGTTCCCTGTGGTTGGCACCTGTTCCCTGTGGTTGGCACCTGTTCCCTGTGGTTAACACCTGTTCCCTGTGGTTGGTACCTGTTCCCTGTGGTTAACACCTGTTCCCTGTGGTTGGTACCTGTTCCCTGTGGTTAACACCTGTTCTCTGTGGTTAACACCTGTTCTCTGTGGTTAACACCTGTTCCCTGTGGTTGGTACCTGTTCCCTGTGGTTAACACCTGTTCACAGTGGTTAACACCTGTTCACTGTGGTTAAAACCTGTTCCCTGTGGTTAGCACCTGCTCCCTGTGGTTAACACCTGCTCCCTGTGGTTGGCACCTGTTCCCTGTGGTTGGTACCTGTTCCCTGTGGTTAACACCTGTTCACTGTGGTTAACACCGGTTCCCTGTGGTTGGCACGTGTTCCCTGTGGTTGGTACCTGTTCCCTGTGGTTGGTACCTGTTCCCTGTGTGTTAACACCGGTTCCCTGTGGTTGGCACCTGTTCCCTGTGGTTGGTACCTGTTCCCTGTGTGTTAACACCTGTTCCCTGTGGTTGGTACCTGTTCCCTGTGGTTAACACCTGTTCCCTGTGGTTGGCACCTGTTCCCTGTGGTTGGTACCTGTTCCCTGTGTGTTAACACCTGTTCCCTGTGGTTGGTACCTGTTTCCTGTGGTTGGCACCTGTTCCCTGTGGTTAACACCTGTTCCCTGTGGTTGGCAGCTGTTCCCTGTGGTTGGTACCTGTTCCCTGTGTGTTAACACCTGTTCCCTGTGGTTGGTACCTGTTCCCTGTGTGTTAACACCTGTTCCCTGTGGTTGGTACCTGTTCCCTGTGGTTGGCACCTGTTCCCTGTGGTTAACACCTGTTCCCTGTGGTTGGCACCTGTTCCCTGTGGTTGGTACCTGTTCCCTGTGGTTGGCACCTGTTCCCTGTGGTTAGCACCTGTTCCCTGTGGTTGGCACCTGTTCCCTGTGGTTGGCACCTGTTCCCTGTGGTTAGTACCTGTTGCCTAGAAATTTTTCTCCTGGTTACCGAGTTCTGGAAGTTAACCATATCCAATGTCCAGAGCGGAGCTTTACCCATGTTCTGTAATTTTAATGACCTCATGAGGCTCCTTGACTTTTGCCGCCCTCATCCCACCCTAACTCTCCCCCACTGAATTTCTGGAATCCCAAGACAGATGGCCCCCTATTTTTGATAGTTCAAATTATGATTTTGTGACTTAATGACTGTGTAAAAGGCATATGCATTCAGTTGAAAATATACTTTCAGTATCCATACAAAAACCCATTCTGTTTTTCACTTTCAGAATAGTATTTAATAGATTACATGAGACATTTAACACTTTGTTATAAAATAGGCTTTGTGTGAGATGACTGCTAAAATGTAGGCTAATGTAAGTGTTTGAGCACGTTTAAGGCAGGTCAGGCTAAGTTATGATGATAGGTGGGTTAGGTGTATCACATCCATTTTTGACTTTTCTTTCTTGATGTTTTCTTTTTCTTTTTGACAAGGTCTCGCTCTGTCATCCAGGCTGGAGTGCAGTGGTGTAACATCGGCTCACTGAAGCCTTGAACTCCTGGGCTCAAGCAATCCTTCTACCTCAGCCTCCATAGCAGCTGGGACCACAGGTGTGTGCCACCATGTCCAGCCAATTTCCTTTATTTTTTTGTAAAGGCAGGGTCTCCTTATGTTGTCCAGGCTGGAACTCCTAGCCTCAAGCAATCCTCCTGCCTCAATTTCCCATGGGATGACAGCTAGTTACAGTACATGTCTAACCTAGTTACATTATTTTTAACTTACAATGTATTTATCAAGAGGTAGCCTTCATCATAAGTGGAGGCCCATCTGTATATTCTCAACATATTTCTTTTCTCTAGCAAGAGACCCTAGTTCCTAAAATGACCCAGCCTTCTTATGTATCAATGGGTAACTTGGGGAGAGCATGTTGAATTTGACCTCTGGCCCCTAACTCAGGGTTCTCTAAAGTAGAATTTGGGCTTCATGGACTACAGTGTGTTTTGAAAGTCCAGTGGAAGCTGCTCCTCCGCCCCATTGTGGGAACGTTAACTCTCTTGCCTCTGGCTGGCTTTGTTATGTCCTTAGTACAGTGACGTCGTTTGCACCTTGCTGATGGAAAGGGCTGGATTCCTGCTTCACTCTTTCCCTCTTGTCCTCTGGCCTGATGCAAAGGCTCCCACCAGGTGCCTGGCAGGATCCTCCCCTTTCTGCTCAAGTCACTCCCAGACAGGGTTTCGGCTGGAGACGGAAGCCAGAAGGAGAAGGAAGTAGGGGCTTCTCATGCATTTGCTTTTAAGAAGAAAATGCTCTTTGCCCCATGTCCTCTCCTTCCCATGGGCAGTCTCTCTGTTCAGCTGTGGAGAGGGAGTGGGAACCAGGGTTTCTACCCAGGGACAGCAATGATAACTTGGTCCTTGGGGCTGACATGAGGCATCAGCACTTGCTGGGAAGTAGTGGCAGCTGGCAGGCCAGCCAGCAGCCACCAAAGGCACAGCTTCAGCAATGGCATCGTGCTGGCTGCCTGGCTGACAAGGCCCTTGTTGGCTGTTGGGGCTGTGTAGGCAGAAGTTGTAAACCAGTAACAGTGCTGCCTGTTTGCAGCAGGAAAGGGCCTGGAGGGGACTTGTCTGTCCTTGGTATATTTGTGTTGGATGACTTGCGTGTGCACGTGCACACAAACACACACACAAGCTCATAGTGATGGTGGAGGGGAGCAGGCGACCCACTCAGTGGCAGAGAAGACTGTGAGCATGCCCTAGGCTGGCTCCATTCCTGTCCAACATCCAAACAGTCAGAAGGCCACTGCTACGACTGTTCGGTGAACAACTGGACCTTGACCAAAGAGGCTCTGCAGACACAGGAGAGTGGCTGGAGCTCCCCTGCAAAATGGGTCCCTGCCTGGGGACCTCCCTGGGTGAATCAATGTGCTTACATCGCAAGTGGCAGGGACTAGTTGGGTTCACAGCAGCTGTGTGGGTCGGCCCTCAGCTGCCTCCCTGACCATCCTCATCCCTCTGTCTGGGGAATCCCCCTGAGCCCAGACTACCCGAGTGCTCTTCAGGCTTCTCACCACCTGATATGGTTTGGCTGTGTCCCCCAAATGCCAAATTGTAATTCCCAGTGTTGAGGCAGGGGCCTGGTGGGAGGTTGATTGGCTCATGGGGGCAAACTTCCCCCTTCTTGTTCTCGTGATGGTGAGTTCTCGTGGGAGCTGGTTGTTTAAAAGTGGGTGGCACCTCCCCCCTCACTCTCTCTCTCTCCTGCGCCATGTGAAGAAGGTGCCTGCTTCCCTTTGCCTTCTGCCATGATTGTAAGTGTCCTGAGGCCCTCAGCTATGCTTCCTGTTAAGCCTGTGGAACTGTGAGTCAATTACACCTCTTCTCTTTATAAATTACCCACTCTCAGGTAGTTCATTTTAGCAGTGTGAATACAGATGAATACATTACCTTTCAAGCAAGTTTTCTAGACAGAATAGTGAATGAAATAATATGAGCATTTTATATCATAGAAGACAAAAACATGTACTTTTAGCTCTGGACTGGGCAACTAGTCCCCTCAGCAAAGACTCCTCTTTGTGCATTTGCAATGAAAACGTGTCCAACTCCAGGTCTGGGGATGAGGACAAATCAACTGGTCCATGGTGGAGAAACCCTGTCACAGTGGAGTTAGTTGGTCTTGGGAGTGCAGCCTGCAGTAGGAGTGTGTGTCTCACCAGACGGAGCCCCCTTGCTCCTGACTTCTCACCACACTCTGCATCTGCTGCCAAGCAGAGGTGGCACTTGCAGCTCACTGCAGGCTCATGAACAGAGGCTGGTGGTGCATCAAGGTAAATGGTATGAAAACATGGACTGACCGAAGGGAGAAAGCCTGAAGAGGAGCACAACTTAAGTACACATATTTGAGCCTGGCTCTCCGTTGCAGCCAGCAGCTAAGAACACCTGTGAACAGGAGAAGTCAGTTCAAACACATCGGTGATGAGGGCTGACAAAAGAAGGGTAAGCATGACCCTATCCAATGTGGCCAATGGTTTCCTTATAGGGGAGCCATGGTTGACATAGCAGCTTCATGATGTAGCAGTTCATCAAATGTACATTTGATGAACTGATGGCCTGGGAGTTCCTTGCAGAGGAGGAAAAAAAAACAACAGAAGGTAGTGCTAGATACAATTCCTTTATTATCATTATCATGCCCCCTAGCACATGAAGCTGGGCTCCCACCGAGATCAGCTAAGGACAGGGGTATGTTTACAAGGAGAATAATTTCTCTGTAGGCACTAGGTCTCTGTAGGCATCGTCTCTGTTTCTAGAATACTGTGATGATCCACGTCCACCAGCCAGCTGGTTCCAGGAGCCTATCTGGCTTCACCAACATCAGGCTACCTGGAACGAGGCCTGGCACTTGCACAGGGCAGGGCATGGGGAGCAGGCCTCAGGTTTCTAAGCAGGGCTGGGCACGGCTGAAATAGGGGAAGGGAGTAGCCAAAATGCAGCAGGTTCTCCCAAGGCACGTAGAAGGTGGTGGGAAAACTGGGCTGGGGTGTGTAACTTGTCCCCTTCCAGTAAGGGACCCAGGCTACTGGTCTCCTGACCAAGATCACAGACCATCTGAGAGTCCTCTAGGAAGAGCAGGCCCTGAACAGATGCGTTGCAGAGAGGCTTTCCTGGTAGGCGGTGAGCTGATCATGGGGTGGAGTGAGTTGGGAATCTCAGCTGCTGCAGGTGGAGCTCAGCTGGAGAACCTGAGGGACTTGTGAACCCTGAGCGCTGTGACATACAAAGGAGGGTGGCGCATCTTCCTTTGGGGTTTGGTCTAAAGCAGTGGTTCTCAAAGTGTGGTTCCAGGGCCAGCAGCTGCAGCTCCAGGGAACTTGTTAGAAATGCAAATGTTGGCCCTGCCCCTCCTGATGAGAAACTCTGGGGTAGGGCCAGCGATCTGTTTGGAAAAGCCCTTCCAGGTGATTCTGATGCTCAGCCAAGTTTGAGAACGACTGGTTTAGATGCTTGGTCACTATACCCTCAGCAGATGTGAGCCCAGCACAGCAGCCATGCAAAAGACTCAGGCCCAGAGTGGCCAGTACATCAAGAATGTTTTCTAGGTGGTGGCAGGGTGGGTGGTGATGACAATGGCTGTTACAACTCACGTCTCCAGCCTCAAGACCCTGAAGCGGGGCCCAAATAGCAGATTCTGAAACCAAAGCTGGCTTCAGGGCAGGACGGCCCCAAGTCACATCACAGTGACCTCCCATATACCCCCCACACCCTACAGGGCCATGCTGGGCCCTCTGGCTGTGCACAGCACAAGCTCCCCGAAAGAAATCACACAGGGTACACCCCAGAGCCCCAGCAACAGCAGGTGCTCCGTGCAGGGGTTAGAAACAAGGCAGAGAATGGCCTCACCTGAAGGGAAGGTGGTCAACACACCCCCAGCATGCCCCTTCCTGCCCTGGGAGTGGGTGTGGCCTGAGAGGAGATCTCCATGTGGACATGAGATTCCACACCCTGCACAAATGCTCTGAGGGCTGAGGGACAGTTCCTGCTCTCACTTTGGGGTCATTGTTGGCACCTGGGGTGATGGGCTGGGTGGCTGTCATGGGCCTTGGCCCCTTGGGCTCCTGCCTGCTGCCTGAGCCCCTGCACCTGGGGGCACAGCTGTCAGCCTGAATGAGCCAGGCTTCTGAACCCTCGGCACATGTGAAGGTGGTATGGTGGTGGCTGCTATGTGACAGTGCCCCCTGAGTGACACTTTGTTCCTTAATGACAGCCCAATGGCTCATTACAGAGATGGAAAACTGGGGGATACTGAGGAGAGGGGCTCCTGGCCCAGCTTTCCTTCCTTCTCCCTGGCTTGCGGTGGCAAGACAACAGCCATTACCATTGACAAGCAAGTCTTAACTTTGCCCAGCCTTAATTTCCTCATTTATAAAATGTGAGAAGTAACCCTCTTACTGGGGTAACTGCAAGATAAGTATTTATGGTGACAGATTCTAAGTGCACAGCAGGCCCTTGATAAACACAAAAAATCCCCGGACACACTCCCTACTTATCTGCCTGAGGGGCTCCTGGAGATGGGGTTAGAGTGCTGGGGAAGCAGGAGGGAGAAAGAGAAGAATGGGCACACACATTCCATCCCCTCAGCCAAGGCCACCTTTCCTTCCTGCCTCCTGTCCTGATGCAGGTCACCCGGGGGGACCTGCTGACGTGCCCTTCTCTCTTGGTGTCTGCCCCTGCGAGCTTAGGAAAGGGCAGCATGGTGTGTGCAGGGCAAGGACATGCTCGTGCCAGCTGGGTGGCATCCCAGCACCTGATGCTGCTTTCCTGGGGCCCCGGTGTGCAGGGGCCTTTCGCCTGCACAGGATTGATGGTGGTGTTCCACAGGCATGTCTTCTCTCTCTCAAGACTGCCAGCCTCCAAGCAGAGGCGTGGGAGGAACTGACCTGGGCCTGGATCTGTGCCCTCGTCAGCAGGAGGGGCATGCCCTGCTGGGGACCACATCCTTGACTCCGGACTCCAGCTGCTGTGCACTCCCAGGCAGAACCTGCCTTATCCTGGGCCTCCATTTCCTCTAACCTTGTCTCATCTCCCAGGCTGTTGGCATGGATGAGGTGGTCAGATTTCCAAGAAGCCCTGGGTGGTTCTGCCACTGTCTGCAGCTTGGACCAGCCATCCTCCAAGTGGCAGTCTGGCTGGACGACACACAAGGCAGGAAGCAGCTAATCCCTCTCCAGTCAGGCCGGCCCAACCATCACATGGGGCTGGGGCAGATGGGGCAGCTCTCCTGGGCCTGCCCGCAGTGACAAGGCTGTGCACAGGACACTTGCCTGCCACCTGTCTCTCTTCCCCACCAGGGCAGACAGATAAGGCCCCAGCACCCCCTGCCCATTGCTGCTTCCCCCAACGCCCCGTCAGGAAGAACATGGCTCTAGCCCAGTACCCTCTTTCTCTCTCCATTCTCCCTCTTATCTGTTATTACTTATCTGTTGTGATCTAGCCCTTCAGAGAGCTTGGGAGTCACAGTTCATTTTTGATTTCCTGCGTGAGTCCCAGGAGGTGGGAGGGCGGCCACAGTTTCTCTTGGCCTCCTGCAGTCTGGGATATCTGGTCTTGCTTTTAACGAATTTGCATCAGCAACTCCAGGGTCTTTTAGGCAGGGGAGATAAACCAGCCTAGCCTCCAAGAAGCCACTGGAGAATACCCAGAGGAGAGGAGGCAACTGGCCCCGCAGCTGGGCTTCCCTCTGTCCATGTGGGTACTTCTTGTGCTGAGGATGCAGTATCTGGACAGTTCAGGGCCCTGTTGGGGTCAGCACTGGAGGCCACTCCTATGCATGAAAGACAGAGCACCCCTCCCCCAGGACTGGCCTGGGTTAGCAACGTGCTCATCATGGTGCAAGTTGGATCAAGTGGGGAGACGAGCTGGGGCCTGTCTCTGCCTCAGTGGTAGCACATCAAGGTGGCCCCCTTCGTAGGGGGCACAAAAGAGGGTCCTGCCCTGGGGGAGAAGTGCAGAACCTGGGGAGGGTGGAAGCCAGGCGAGGGATTTTAGTGTAATGGGCTGCCCCGTTGTAACAGCCATTTTTGGGGGGTCCCTATGGGTGTTGTACAAGTTGATACCTGTTCTCTGGAAAATTGCCAGCATAGATACTCTGTAATTTCTAGGGTTTGCTTTCTGTTCTCCCTTAGCACTGGGGAACGTTCTTACTGAAAAATTCCCTGCTGAATTTAGTGATGCAAGAGAGAACCCGAGGCAAAAGCTCTGTTCACTCTAGGACGGGAGGGAGGGGAAGCAGAGCGCTGGTGGCCACGGGGTCAAGGAGAGGCCCTAGGAAAAGTGAGGCTCAGGCAGATCCCCTCTACTCAGAGCTGCCCTTTCTCAGTGGCTCTGACTTTGAAGGGTTGTGAGTTGGTCCACTCCAGGAAATGCTTGACACCCACCAGCATTAGGCGCTGAAGATGGTTTAAAAACCTGATGTTCCTGAGAATCAGGCCCCGGAACAGGAGATCCCTCTGGGGAGCATGTCCCTAGAGGCCAGGGTCTCCCCAGGGGGTTTCTCCCTGGAAGGTTGCTAGGCAGGCACAGGGCTCTGCTCCCAGTGCAGCATGTGCTTACCCCCTGTTCCCCCTGCTCCCTGCTCCCTGCCAGGGCAGCTCCACCCAGCCTGTGGCTGCCCTGCCCAGGTCCTGCAGGAAGGAGTGAGGCCAGCAGGACGTGGCTTTCCAGGTGAGGCAGTGTGGACATTGGGCAGGTCAAAGAGCAAGGTCTTCTGGGGAAAATGCCAGCTCTCCCCGCCCCACACTATGCAAAAGGTCAGGGCTTTTGAGCATGGGTGGGGGAATCCTGTGCTGAAAACCCAGGGGACCTGGGTTATCTGCCCATTGTTCCAGGTTCAAGAGCTGGGAGGGAGCAAAGAGCCTAAATGTCAACCTCCCCTAGTCCACAGGTGTCCCTGTGCCTGGTGCGGAGCTCTGGCTGTCTCCTGAAAGGATCATTTCCCTGCCCAGGATCTGGCCATGGAAGCTCAGAAGTGGAGGAGGGGGTCCGAGGGTCCCTGCCTGGGTGGGCACAGTAGAAGCTATGGTCTCAGGCACTTGGTGTATTTGCAGATGCTGGGCACAAAGGAGGGGGCATCTATGGCCCTAGTGGAGCTGGTGCTAACTCTGTAGGCCTTGTGGATGGCATGTGGCCACCTGTCCTCCTGCAGGGCAGTTGGAAGAGGAGGTGGTTGACCATCAGTAAAAATGCCGCTGGAGCCTCTGGTGCAAGCAGCAGGTGAGAACCATCCCGCAGATCTGCCAGGTGGAGAGAACAGAGGAGCAAAGAGAAATCAGAATTCCTGGAAGCTGCCGGCCATCAGGGCCCTGGAACAGTGCTGCTTGCTCCAATCCCTGGGGCCTGGACAAAGGGCAGATTCCTGCTCAAAGGGCTGGGCCTGAAGTTCTGCATTTCTGACAAGCTCCCAGGTGATGGCGATGTGCGTGGGGGAACCACAATCTGCCAACTACTCTCCAAGAGCAGGGCTTCCACACTTTCATGGGCATGCGTCACCTGGGGACCTCCTTATTACAAGTCTGCAGGCCTGGGTGGCAGCCTGAGAGTCTGCATTCCTAGCAGGCTCCCTGTTGCTGCTGCTGCTGGTCTGTGGTCCTCCATCTTCTCCAGAGATGGCCTGATTTAATTAGACCCTAAGAGTAATGTTTCCACTCCCTCATCAGAACTGTCTGAAGCACTGTCTAGTAAAGAGTCTGCCTGTGTTTTGCTGTCCTTGGACTCCAGAGATAAACTCAGGTCCATCTTCAATGCTTTGACTGGTATACGGGAGCCATGGGGGAAACTGAGACTCTGGGAGGAGCCCCTTGAGCTGTCACCCTGTCCGTCAGTGTAGAATGATAGAGCTGGTGAGCTCACCCTGTCAATCAGCGTAGAATGCAGCAACACGCCCAGGCCCTGAGAGTCCTGTCTGCCAGCCTTTCTGTTGGTATCCACAGGCTGAACAAGGAGAGGCTGGAGTCCAAAGCACACGCAGGCCTGGGAGGATCACACCGCATACCCCTTCTCACTTTTTCCACTTCCAGAACACAGAGGAGCTTTGTTCTCTCACCTTGCCCTTCATGGGCTCTCCTCTGCCACCTTCCTCCTCTTCCTCTCCTCCCTCCCACCCGAGGATGCATTGAGGGTGATGTGATTATGATCCTGATGATGACGATGACATGGTTTTGGATCTTGGCTGTCTGCACACAGGAGAGGGGCACTGGGCTAGAGCAGCCGCATGGCTATCTGTGGTACCTGGGGTGCAGGTGGCTCCCCTACGTATTGAGTCAGTGTCCTGACTTTCCTAGCAGCTGCTGCTGCCCTGACCTTGCTGGTGCAAACCTGGATGCAGTTGGAGCTCTAGCCAGAGGGAGGAGAGCAGGCTAGTGTAGATGCGCGTGTCCTGTACCCAGTCTCTGACAGGCCAGCTGGGGGAGGAAGTGCGGAAGGAGCCTATCCTCTTCCCCACCTTCCTCCTCTCCATCCCTCCCAACCTGGAGGACAGTGTGGGGCATAAACACTGCTTTCAGCCTGCAGACATGCTGTCAATTCACCTGGGACCTCAGGCTGAAAGGCAGCTTAGGAGGTTATCTCATCTCCTGCTAGCTTTAAGCAGGGGTTGGTCACACCGTTCCACCCATGCAGGTGTGGTGCAGCACGTTCTCTTTCCCTGTCCCTGCCTCATGGTTTGATGATTTTCCTGTGGGGTTTTCCGGATTTTTCTAATTTGTGCTAAGGGGGAGGCCAGAAGGGAGCTGTTTGGCTGGCACAGATTTATGCTGGAAACCATGTCTGTACCACCTGCAATGTACATCTCCTGCTGGGGGAGGGAGGGGCCACGCTCTCCGGCAGACAGGCTCCTGCACGAGCTGGGTGTTCCCAGGGAGCCTCCCAGGACAGGCACAGTAAGGGGGAGAGGTGAGTGGGCCAGACCCTCATCACTGCGTCCACATGCACACCCCCACGTGGAAGCACTTGGAGGGATACAGGATGCCACCCAGTCTGGTTCCAGAATAAGTGCTGTCTCCCTCCTGACAGAGGACACTGAGAAACCAGCACGGCTGGCTCCAGCAGGGGGCGCGCAGAGACAACACAACGCCAGCTAACTGCAGGTACTGGAGGTGGCAGACGGGGCAGGGGTGGGCTTGCGGATCCAGCCCACACGGTGCCTGGTGCTGTCTTCTGGCAACTGCCTGTGTGTGGCACTTGGCCACACATGGGACATTTTTAACAGGGAGGCTGTGTGCCTTCAGCTTCCTCTGAGGATTCTGAGTCAGCACCTGGCTGTCAGCAGAGAGCATGAATGGAGGGCCAGGGAGCTTCTGGGGAGTCCTTCCAAGATGATTGCTTGGTTTCCCTTTTAATGACCTGCAGGCCCTAGTCTTGACTGTCTTGTGAGTTTTCTATGCTCTGAGACTTTCCATATTGCAACGTGAGCATGTTGGAGGTGAGTTGGGTTCTATTTGATGCTGCGCCAATGACCTGTGTGAGCTTGGGTACAATTATCTCCCTCTCAGCCTCAAACCCCCTTCTGCCAATAGGAAAACATCTGGTTTCTACACTGGTCTAGGGTCTTCCTTGGTGAGATTCTTTAAAATCTAGAATAACAGGTACCAACAGCACAGCACCCAGTCCTTCCAGCACCCCAATCCTTTGAGAGGCCAGGCAGTGGCTCGCCGGGGCCCTCAGGATAAAGCCCCCACTCCTCACTTTGCCTGCAAGCCGGGGCTTGCACATGCTATTCCCTCACCCTGGCTTTCCCCTCTGTCACTTCCTATTGGGCTCCTTTAGGACTGAATGAGATGGCACTTCCTCCAGGAAGCCTTCCCTGACCTCCCGTGACTGGTTAGGGCCACTGATGTTTGCTTCCTAAACCCCAGCGCTCCTGCTAACACCTAGCACTGCATTGTGACTGCCACATACTTATCTGTCCCTTTTCTTCAAGCAAAAGCTCCCTGGGAGAAGGGACGGCACCCTGCCTGCAATGGGGCCCTGGCACTGGCCACAGCACCTAGCACATGGCAGCTCTGCTCCAGAGTAAACACAAGCACGGGCCCCTCAGCCTCCTCTGCAGGCTCTGTGGGTGGAGGCTCCCAGGACGCTGATGTGAGGAGAGCAGCAGGAAAAGGGCTGGGCTATTGTGACATTTTTAGTAAAATGTTCCCCAGCTAGAATATTGTAGAAATTAGCTTCTAAAGTTACCTCAAAGTGGAGTGCCTCCAGAGTCCACCTACAAGAGGGGAAGCTGGTGCGAAGGAAGCAGGCCTGTGAGCTGGAGGCCTGGCCACTCTGCCACAGCAGCTGTGTCACCTTCAGCAGGTGACTTTGTGGTGGGGCTTGATGTCCTCAAACGTGAATGAATAAGATGAGCCCAGGGGCTCTGAACCCCAAATGCACGTTTGACCCACCTTGGAGGCTTAAAAATACGTGTGCACAGACCTCAGCCCAGACAATCTGAGCCAGTTTGTGGTGGGGGGGCTGGAGCAATGTTTTTCTTTTTTTTTTGTTTGAGATGGAGTCTTGCTCTGTCACCCAGGCTGGAGTGCAGTGGCACGATCTTGGCTCGCTGCAACCTCTGCCTCTTGGGTTCAAGCAATTCTCCTGCCTCAGCCTCCTGAGTATCTGGGATTACTGGCATGTATCACCACGCCTGGCTAATTTTTTGTATTAGAGACGAGGTTTCACTGTGTTAGCCAGGATGGTCTTGATCTCCTGACCTTGTGATCTGATTGCCTCGGCCTCCCAAAGTGCTGGGGTTACAGGCATGAGCCACTGCACGTGGCCGCAACGGTATTTTATTCTATAATTCTAGTATATAATTATATAATATAATTATATGTATTATATGATTCCATTCTAGCGTGCGGACAGGGCCAGTGGCACTGGTCCAGGTAGTCTGTAAGGCCTTTTCAGGTGGCATAGTCTGACCGGCAGGGGGCAGGGGGTACCTCAGCACTGTGATGAACCGTTACAGGTCTGAAACTGCCTTTGGGTGCTGTTCCATGACTGAGGTGAGTGAGAAGCTTGGTGGGGGGCCCTGCTGAGGGGATAGGTGCATTCCCAGAATGCAGAAGCTCTGCATGGAGGGGCCGCTGCCGATCAAGTGCAGAGATCCGCCCTTCAGCATCCCTGCCACCCCCAGCCTCTCTCCAGCCTGCAGCCACAGAGAGTGTAGTACTCTGCAAGGGCCACTGTTTAGCAATTCGAATTGTTCAAAAGTTCTCGAATGTGTCTCCTTGAAAAGAATTCCACCGACTGTTTCCCTTCTGTCCTCTGGACCTCCCAGGAAGTCCCTCCCTTCCCCACATGGCTGCCTTGGATATTTCGAGACCATGAGGGTGCTGTATCTGCTCCCCATCCCCTGCCCTCTCGCACATCTGACTTCCGGGCCCCACACATCCCTTGCCACTCCCTTTGCCTCTGGCTGCACAGTGGAATCACTAGAGAGAGCTTCACGAAGACACGATGCCCGGGTGCCAGCCCCAGACCATTTTGTTTCATTTTGCTGTGGGCAGCCCAGGCCTGGGGTGGTTTTAAAGCTTGTCAGGTGATCCCAATGTGCGGCCAAGGTTGAGGACCCCTCCCTGAGGGCTCTGCGGAGGTCTGGTCCCACCTTGAGGGTTGCCTGAGCCGGCAGCCCCACCCCCAGCACTCTCCACGATTTCCACCAAAGCAGCTCCAGGCCACATCTCTGTGGGCAGCACCCTCTCCTGTAACTCAGGCAGATGCCCCACCTCTGTTACAGGCTTAAATGCAAACAAAACAAACCTCAAATGCAAGGACGTGAACTCTGTTAAATGTTTTACCCTTCGTTTCAGGTCTTCACGTCCAACAAGCTCTGTTATCAATGCTGGCTTTATCATGCAACAGACCAGACATGCTATGTAAATAGTTTAGCTTCCCGGGACTTTGTGAGATCACCAAGAAAAATGTTGAAGAGACAGGCCTGAGACTGAAGGCCATGGCCCACCGGCGTGAGCTCTCTCCTCTCCCTCTCACAGCGTGGACATCCAGCCTGCCCCGATTTCTCCTGAGCATACAAGTGCCTGGTCCACACGTCCTCAAGGCAACAAGTGATGCATTGCCAGATGCCTGGCTTGAGTCAAGGTGTGCTGCCTTCACTAAACATTCTGCTTAGTTTTCAGAGTTCACAAACCATTTGCTCTAACACTCCAGGTGCTGCAGGACATCAGTCTCAAGGTCATTGGTTCCTGAGATGGGAACCTTACTGAAAAATCATAGCACATGAGATTCAGGTTCCCCAGAAATGGCGCCCAGCTGTTCTCCACATTTTACAAATCAGAAAGTTGAGACCCAGAGAGGTGACTTACCCAGGGTCTCACACCCTGAACCGGTCCTCTGGCTTTGGTTCTTTGTGTTCTCCCTACCACAACACAGAGGACTGTGGGAAAGAGAAGCAGGGGACAGTGGCCTTGGCTGGCTTGGAAAGACTTCCAGTGCAGGGTCCTTGGAGACCATGGTGCCACTTACCCACATTGTCTATGGTCCTGGAGGTTCCAGCTGCAGCCTAACACACAGCTTTCAAGCTGTACTGGAAACTCCTATTGTATCTCAGGGCCACCAAGGGGAGCAGTGAGGGGAGGCCATCGTGCTAGGCTTGTCCCTGCCTGGAACAGCTCTACCTCCTATACTTCATGTACTGGGCTCTATGTGAGACTTCCATTGAAAAGAGGATGCTGCTGCTTTAAAAAGGCTCACAAATATCCAATCTGTCCATTTTACAGTTAAGGACACTAAGGGCTCAGAGAGGGAATGCGATTTCCCTGAGGTCACACAGCAATAGGTGGAGCTGTGTTTACAAATCAGGCCCTGTAACTCCCAAGCAAGATTTCTTGCAGTAGCTGGGAGCTGGGAACATGATGACACCATCTTGGGGTGATATGTTCCCAGCCTTGGGGGTCTTGGAAGTGCCAGGCTGGGTATGTAGGGGAGATAAATGACTGGTGTCCGCTTGCTGAGAGGGAAACTATGACCCTGGGGAAGAGACTGGTATGAGCCCTTTCTCAAGGCTTATGGCCCACCAGGGACTGAGCATTGTAGTGCCCAGTGTCGGCTGGCAGAGGGAGCTCTAACCCGAGGCTTGGCTGCTGCAGGGCTGGCTCAGTGGGTCATAGAGGAGAAAACTGGGCAAGAGGTCCAGAGCCACCAAAAGCCGTTCCACAGCAACGGGGAAGGAATACAGAACACATGGTAGGGGCTGTGCATAGGCAGGAGGCGTGGCAGGCCTGCAAGTCCACTGCTCAACAACCTGACCTCTTCAATGTCACAGCCGCGTGGTCTACCGTGACCAGCGGCTCCGGGCATCTGTAGCCCCACACCCTGCCCTTGGCCCCGCTGCCTTTGTCTGCAGCTTCTACAGGCTCTCGAGGCCAGAGAGGTGAGGAAGAAATGGACAGAATGGCCTAGGCCTGGTCAGTGTCCATGCAGAGCAGGCCCCTAGCACCTGGAGCAACAGGCTTCTGGAAACTTCAGTTGCCCTGTGCTGCTGAGCATCCCTTCCCCTCTTCCCAGTGGCAACTCCTTTGGGGTTCAGCGCATGGGACAGAAGGGCCTGCCCTGGGGAAGTGCAAAAGAGGGGCAAGGCTAATGCCACCTGGGCTCCCTGGCCTTGCAGGTGAGTGAGGATGAAGGGGACAAGGCTGGTCTGGCCAAGGAACAACTACAGGGTTTTTTTTTTTTTTTTTTTTGAGACAATGTGCTTATGCAGAAATATAAAGATCAGGGGTATGATTTACCAAACACCTGCTATCTGCTCAGCAATGAGCCAAGTGATTTATATGGATGTTGCTAATTCCCATCACGAGCCACAAGATGAGGTGTAACTAGCCCCATTTACAAATGAGTAACTGAGGCTCAGAGATGAAAGAACTGGCCCTAGGTCACACAGCTGTAGGTGGCAGAACCAAGATGGGTGTCCCTCCAGAGGCGACAGACCCTCCTCCCAGTGTGTTAGGCTGCAGCTGAGCTCCAGGCCCACAGACAATGTGAGTAGGTGTCTCCATGGTCTTTAAGCACCCTGCACTGGAAGTTTCTTCAAGCCAGCCAAGGCCACTGTCCCCTGCTTCTCTTTCCCACAGACCTCTGTGTTGTGGTCGGGAGCCTGGGAAAGCAAAAGGCCAAAGACAGGAGACCTGGGTGCCAGTTCAGGGTGTGGGACCCTGGGTAAGTCACCTCTCTGGGTCTTGACTTTCTGATTTGTAAAATTTGGAGAACAGCTGGGCACCATGGCTCATGCCTGCAATCCCAGCACTTTGAGAGACTGAGGTGGGCATAGTTTGAGACCATCCTGGCCAACAGGGTGAAACCTCAGCCTCTACTAAGAATACAAAATTAGCCAGTGTGGTGGTACACACCTATAATCCCAGCTACTTGGGAGGCTGAGACAGGAGAATCGCTTGAACCCGGGAGGAAGAGGTTGCAGTGAGCTGAGATTATATCACTATATTCCAGCCTGGGCAACAGTGCGAGACTCTGTCTCAAAAAAAAAAAAAAAAAAAGCAAAGAACACTTCTTCTTGTCTGGCCTGTATCTCAGGTTGTTGTGTGGACCCAATGAGAGGAAGAATCAGAAATCCTCTGAAGTCTACAGAAAACTGGAGGAAGACAGCTTCCATTTCCGGAGGCTTTCCTACCTGCCAGGTTCTTGGTAAGTGGGTCATGGGTGTCGCCTTGTTCTCAGACCTTAAGAGCTGGGGAAATGGTCCACATTTTGCAGATGAAGAAGTCAATGGACAGGGAAGTTAAGTAGCTCAGGGTTACACAGGAGCAGAGCCAGGGCTGGACCCAGACCTTCTGAGGCCAAAGCCTCTGCTCCTCCCCTTCTCTAGAGGGTGCCCAGCCCTGGAGTGGGAGGGGCTGTGCAGGACAGCAAGACTCTAGGATAGCCCACACTCAGCTCCTGCTGAGCTGAAGCAGGAGTGCCCATGAGGTGGGGACTGCAGGAGCCCTTGCTGCTGAGGAGTCCCTCCTGGCTCCCCTCCTTTGGATTCTTGACTAGTGCAACCTGAGGAAGTCACCCTGATTTCCTTTGGTGGCAGCCAGTGGGGAGAGTACAGGGAGAAATGGGAGCCAAAGGCATTGATCATCCTCAGGAAGACAGCTGGATGAGTGCGTGCACGCACACGCGCGCGCGCACACACACACACACACACAGAATCACTGTCTTGGACACCAAAATCCATGGGTGCTCAAGTTCCTGACATAAAATGGTGCAATATTTGCATACAACCTATGCACATCTTCCCATATATTATACCTTAGCTCATCTTTTAGTCTACTTATAATACCTCATACAGTATAAATGCTATGTAAATACCTGGTATATTGCATTGCTCAGGGAATGATGACAAGGTTGTTCAGTGCAGACAAATGCAGTCATCCATTTTTTTGGAATATTTTTGATCTACAGTTGGTTGAATTCACGATGCAGAACCCACGGACATGGAGGACTGACTCTACACACACACAAACACACATGCACACACACAAAAGAATGAATGCAGATACGTGCATACTCACACACATGCACAAGCACCCTGAGCACATATATGTGCATATAACCCCAACCACATGGACTCAGATGCATGCAGACACGTGGCACAGATGGGTTGCACACTCACCCCTGTGTGCACACGGGGTGCGTGCACATGCCTGAGCCCACACTCACACTTCTCCCAGGTCCCTGTTCCTGATAAGTTCATGTTGTCCCCAGGTATCTTCCTTCATGTTCTCTGGGGGAGAGACTGACTGGGATTCAGCCTTAGTTGCAGAGGGAAGGGGAGAGAAGAGAGCAGCGTAGGGCGCAGGTGTGCAAAGGGTCGGTTATCTCAGCCCAGGTGGTTACTGAAGATCTCTGTCAATGGGAGAGGGGTTCCGAACCCTTCCACCCCGCCAGTCCTCTCACTGCAACTCACCTGCAGGCAGGCCACCCCGATGCCCACCGCCCCCATGAGCAGCAGGTGGTCGGCCAGGAACTGCTCCAGCTTGGTGAGGCAGCCTCCCTGTAAGAGAAGGGCAGGTGATGTGGCCATGGGCCAGGAGTGAGGATGGGCAGGGAGGAAGGGCAAGCTGTCACTGCAGCAGAGGCTGAGACCGGCCAGAGGACTCATGGGCTGGACCCAACCTTGAATTGATCAGAGGCTACTTGAGTGGCCCCAGGGGCATGCTGTGATGTCTTAGACACTCTGGTATGAGTCGCTTGTCCCAGGGCTTTGTAGAGACCCTGGAAAGCTCCAGGCACTGTGGGCTCATGGCCAAGGAGCACGTGTGTCCTGCTTTTCCCACACCCATCTGCCTGACCCAACCTTTCTGGGGCTCCTGAACCGCCAGGCTGGGGCCCTCTCATCACCCCCAGCTTGAGGTTGGATGCTCACCTCCACCTTATAGATGTTGGAGGGGTGGGCCCGCCGGCCGCAGAGCACCACCACTGTCTTGCAGCAGCTGTCAGGCACCCGGCGGCCCTCGGCCTCCTGCGACAGGATGTACGTGCTGCGCTGCCAATCGGCTGAGCTGTTGCTTCCGCAGCACTTGAACTGGAGGCAGAGGCAGAGGCTGGAGGTGAGAGGCCTGTGCAGGGTTCCAGGGCCGCAGGACACATTATTATTCAAATACTAACCCAACCCTTATTTGTCTACCTGAACCATGGTTAGTATTTGTATCATGTGTTTTCCCTTCCCTTGCTTTGAGCAGAGAGCTGGTCGCTCCAACACTCTTAGACTCAGTGCTAAACTGCTTGCAGGACACCTGCTTGCCAGCTTTTTTTTTTTCCTGAGACATAGTCTGGCTTTGTCACCCAGGCTGGAAGTGCAGTGGTGCAATCTCAGCTCACTGCAACCTCCGCCTCCTGGGTTCAAGCGATTCTCCTGCCTCAGCCTCCCAAGTAGCTGGGATTACAGGCACACGCCACCACACCTGGCTAATTTTTGTATTTTTAGTAGAGACAGAGTTTCACCATGTTGACCAGGATAGTCTCCCTCTGTGGACCTCGTCATCTGCCCACCTTGGCCTCCCAAAGTGCTGGGATTACAGGTGTGAGGCTTTTTAGCCACACAAATCCTTTAAGGAGATTATGCCTTGGGGGCAGGGCGAGTCTGCAAGGTGGGTCCCCAGAGTGAGTCTGTGTGGCACTGGGTGACAGAGCCCAGGGTGGAGGCAAAACCACAAGGTGGGGGAGTTTCCTGGCCATCCAGTAGTCTAGACACGGGGACAGGGATCCAGCCTGGCTAGAGGCTCTGAGGCCCCTATTCAGGCTTTGACATCTCAGAGCCCCAGCCAGCCCATGGCACTGGCAGACCAGTGTCAATCAGAGGTGCCGGTAAGTGCTAAGACCTGGGGCCGTCTGCACCACTCCAGGGCAGGGAAGTGCCAGCCCATTGTAAAATGATTACAAGGCAGCGGACACTGGTTGCTTCTTGCCTTTCCCAGTTGCGGCACTGAGATTCAAAGCCCCTGCACAGGACAGAACAGGCTGCTGCGAGGCTGTCGCTGGTGTGTGTCTAGGGATGGGAGGGTTGGAGGTATGTTTAGATCAACTCACAAGAGTTTGCTGGGCAGCTACAATGTGCCTGGAGTGAAGAACCCTGATTAAGGCATGGGGCCTGGTCTTCGGTAGCTTAGCATCCACTGTCGTGCAGTAGGAGGTAATAGAAGCTTGTGTGTGGCACAGAGGAGGGAGGGGTTAGTGGTCTGTCCAGGGCCAGGAGAGAGCCACAGGGTGAACAGGGGCCCCAGGAGTTGAGGAGAGCCTGACGGCACACAGACAGTGTGGAGACTGGCACAGCGTGCATAAGGAGTCACGGGGGAACTGCGCATTCCACATCACTCTGTCCGTCTGTGCTGGTGTCGCCAGATGGCTGTGTCATTTGTAAAATGCAGAAAACAAAATTACCCCCATGCCAGGCTGTTGTGAGGACTGAAAGAGGTGACTCACATAAAGCATTTAGAAGAGAGCCTGCCGCTGAGTCAGTGGTGAAGGAGAGACTCTTACTTCCACCATCACCATTGTGTGAATACAGTGTCATTTACATCCACGTGGCACGCTGGAGGGCCTGATGCTGGCCCTGGCTCTGCAGCCACTGCTATCCCGGGGCTTGGTCTCCTGGATGAGACGTGGCTTGGGGTTCTAAGTGTTTCTGGCCTATATGAGGGCGGTGTCTACATGCACAGACACCCTGCAGGTCTCTGTCAGCGACCCAGCCTCTGCTCTTAGCTGTGCCTTTCCTCATCTGCCCCTAGCCCTGACCTATCCTCTTCACTTAATCAAACCCCACCTCTGCTCCATGGGGGCCTCCCCACCTCCCCTGCTCTCTCTTCGAAGGGTGGTCCAGCCTTGCACTGACTGCTGTGTGTCCAGCTTCCCTGAGGGCAGGGATCCTGACCTGTTCCTCTTTTTCTAGCAAAGTTCCTCACGGGTGAGGCCCGGCAGGTGGAGTGCATACTTAGTTTTGTGCAGGGCTGACCAGCAGTGTGTGTTGCTTCATCTTGGTCCTGAGCTGAGCCCGTGGGTGTGAGTGTGCCTGTGGGCGTGCACTTGCATGTACATGTGGGTCCTAGGCCACTATGTCAGAGAAGAGAGTCCTCCATGCAGCCCCCATTGGGAGCTGGGCCAGAGTCTTGGAGAGATGGGAGGGGCCTTCTAGCTGAGCCATGATGCCCCTGGGGCTCAGAGCTCACCACTTCTTCCTTTACTTGCCTGATGTTCCCGGGGGCCAAGATCAAGACCTCAGGTCTAGGGAGTGGGAGTGAGGAGTGGGGTGGCAGAGAGAAGGGGGACCAGAGTGGGCAGGGGGTGCTGCCTTGAATTTTCTGACATGAACACCTCTGGATCCTGAGCAGCGCCGTCCAGGAGAACGTTCCGCAATGAAGGTGGCGTCCTACATCTATCTGTGCTGTCCAATCGGAGCTCACTGGACACATGGGCTAACGAGCACTGGAAATGCGGTTGTTGTGACTGAGGAATTGAATGTTATATTTAACCGAGCTGGAAACAGCCACCTGTGGGTGGTGGTGGCTGCCATATTGGACAGGACAGCTCTGAGGTCCATTTGCCCGTCCCCTGCGTCTGGTCAGGCCAGCGGGTGTCCCTGGAGGGATTTGCTGCAACTCTTCTTGGAAAGGAGAAAACCTTTCTGTCCCCCAGCACTCTGCCTGATGGCTTGCACTGGAAGGTTTTGGGGCAGCTTAACTGAAATTCCTCTGCTGGTTACAGCTCACTCTTATGGAACCGCAGCAGCCAGCTCCCCAAGGAAGGAGGAAGGCAGCCCCATGGATGGAAGCAGGCTGGAGAGGAGCTTCCTGGCCCAGATCTTGGCAGAAGATGGAGTTCTCCTGGCATAGACAGCTTCCTGGCCACAGAGGCCCCAGAATAGGAAGGCAGCAGGGGTGGGGTCTGGAGGAGGTAGTCAGGGAAGGAGAGGAACCGGGCTTCAGCAGGTACTTTTCATGGCGGATGGGGACATCTACGGATGTGATCATATTTAATGCTCATATGCCCTAAAGAGGCTTCATTTTAGGATGTGACATCTGAAGCTCAGAGAGGGTAAGTAACTTGCCTAGGGTCACACAGACAGGTAAGAACAGAGTCAGTGTTTGAACCCATGTGGGCCTGGCCTTCAAGGCCATGTGGGGCACAGCTTACATCCTGCTGGAGCCGGTCTACTGAGGCGGTGATCTGCGTGGCTCCCAGCTGCCCGTAGTTCTTGGTCAGAGTCCGGTTCAAGTGCTGCTTTAGTTCATCACTCAGCTGGGGAGGGCGGGAGTGAAGGCGCCATCAACGGGACCAGCCCCACCCTGCCCTGGCACCAGGCCCACTCCCAAACCTCCCAGCTAATTCTAGAACATTGTGGACTGCAGATGATGCAATGATGCAGAGGTTTCTTGGCAGTGGAAGGGACCATCAGCCAGAGACAGTGCAGAAGACGGCCATGGAGAGGAGGTTGCAAAAACTGGGCCCCTGCTTAGGGCAGAGGTATGATGGGCAGAGCTGAGAGTCTGGGGAGACGGCTCAGGTAAAAGGTCACATCCAGCAGCTGGTGGGTGGTGGTGGTGAGGCCAGACATAGGGTGGTTTAAAATGTCTGTTGATCTTAACTATGATCATGAGGTGACAGTGAAAATATTTATTTTTTAATTTTAATTTAATTTTATTTTTTTGAAAATATTTATAATTGGGCTGGGTGTGGTGGCTCATGCCTGTAATCCCAGCACTTTGGGAGGCTGAGGCAGGTGGATCACCTGAGGGCAGGAGTCTGAGACCAGCCTGGCCAACATGACAAAACCCATCTCTACTAAAAAATACAAAAAATAGGTGGGCGCGGTGGCAGGCGCCTATAATCCCAGTTACTCAGGAGGCTGAGGCAGGAGAATTGCTTGAACCCTGGAGGCAGAGGTTTCAGTGAGCTGAGATTGTGCCACTGCACTCCAGCCTGGGAGACAGAGCAAGACTCCATCTCAAAGAAAAAAAATTATAATTGTTACCCTGTGGGCATTATGCCAGCACTGGCTTGAAAAACCAGCAGGGTTGCACTGTTTCTACCAGCCAAACATTACCCCAGTCATGACCTCAAATCTCCGATTCAGAGGGCTCAAGGGTGGGAGTGGATGGGACCCACTCCGTCCTTGTCCAAGCCAGGCAGGCAAGGCCTGATCCTGGTTCAGGGTCTGGCATGTGATCCTGGTCCAGGCCTTTCTTCTTGGATGTCTCTGACAGATGGATTCATCATCTAGACCATCTTTGGAAGGAGAGAAGGATGAGCCAATGTCCCATGGGAAACCCCCGTCCCCAGCTCCCACATGGAAGACATCAGCATCAACAGATGCAGCACAGAATTGCTGGAGCTGGGACCAGCAGCTGGATTGCAGATGTGTAGGGGGATTGCTGGGGCCTGGGAAACAGGACCACCCCTGAGCCTGCCTCAGCTTCCCTCATCACAATGCAAACCTCCCTACCCACACTGCTTCTTCAGGGCACTGACAGAGGATGCAGGAGGAGGAAATGTCACTTACCCTCTGGTAATACACATGGGCTAAGACTGCTGCCACCAGCTCAACCAGGAAGATGACGAGCAACAGGCAGAAATACTAGGAGCAAGGAGAGAGGAGGGTCACCACTGGGATTGGGACACTGCTATGACAGATCTTTCCCCGCAGTGGTGGGGGTGGTAGAGATACCTGCTGGGACCTCTATCATCCATATCATCTTCCTCCTGGCCATACCAGCCTCACTGGCTGCCGGCACCAAGTTCCCCACTTACTCCTTCCCTCTTTGGTCTGCTGACAATTCAGTAATACATCCACCCACCCAATAGGTATTAAATACCTGCTATATGCCAGATGCCAGGTAGCGTAAGTAAGACAACTATTACTCTCAAAGTTATTGATGGTGGGAAGACAGATGAGTGATTGCAATGCTGTGTTACAAATGCAACTATGGGGTACACTCTAGAAATGGTGGGAGGCTCCTGGTAGGGTGGGCAGTCAGAGAAGACTTCCTGGAGGTGGTGACACCTAAGTAACATCTTTAAGGAATGAACAGGCATTTGCTAAGTGAAGGAGGGAAGCACATTCTAGAAGAAGGGAGAACAAGTGAAAAGCCTAGAGCCTGCAGGAGGCATGGGGCATTTGCCTTCAGGGAGTGGAGGGTGCCCATATAGCTGGAGTGCAGGGACCAGGGTGGACTGTGGCAACCAAGCCTCAGGAAAAAGCAAATCAGAGGTCCAGGGAAGGCAGGTGATTCCTGTGTTGTCTCTCAGCCCCAATGCCCATTTCCCATCCTTCATACCCCTGCAGGGGTTCTCATTCTTGCTCCCCCACTCACAGCCCTGCTGCTGCTGCTGGTTGCCCAGCCCTGCACTCAAGTGTGACCTGTAGGAGGACATGGGCCCTGCTTCCTTCTCACTCCCCACTGTCTTGCACAGTCAGGGAGGCTCCTGGGACCCTGCTTGACCAACTTTGCTTGCAGGAGCAACAGGTCTGAACTCCCTCTCTCCCCACCCTGTAGGAGCAGGGATGAAGCCGGCTACAGGCAGCCATAGAGCTCCCAGGCAGGGACAAAAGAAGAGAAGCGACGGGGAGCACTGCTGATCGAAACCGGCCCCACTGTGGGGAAGCTCAGCCCGACTCATGAGCACCTCCGACCCGGGGTTGCCCCAGGCACTGCCTGCCCACCCAGCCACAGCAGGGCAGCTACCCATGGTCCCTGGGATGGCTGGATTCTAGGGAAGACCCAGCCTGTGGGTGAGACTGAGACCCTAGGGGTCACTCAGCAGGCAAAGGAGTGTGGGCAGGAGGGATATGGTGGTGGGTGGGGAGTGGTGCCCAGGACAGACAGGGGCTCCTGGGCATTTAAGGGGCAATGCTTATCCATGGGCCCATGGGCCTCACCCAACTATCTCCTGCACCACTCAGCAGCGAGCCTGGCATGGGCAGGGATTAAGGAATACAGGGGTGGGACCATTTCTTTTCACAGTGAAAGAACTGTGGCCTGAGAGCAAGGCTTCCTTTCAAAAGAAGTGAATTACCCCCCTCCTCATTACAATTTTGCTGTGTCCTATAGTCTCCCACAGTCAGGGACACAGGGAGACTTTCCGGTCTCAGAATAACAGCGTCAGGCCTAGCCCCATCATTTATGGGGCCTGGGGCCAAGAGCAAAAGAGCAAGGTCCCTGACCCTTCCTTTCCTACCCCAGGCTCTTCACTGCACCAAGAAAAACCTCAGCCGAGAGCCCTGTCTGCCCCTCCCCAGAGTCAGATGCCCACTGGCCAGGGGTGTGGAGAGGACTGGGTGTGGTGCAGGCTAGGGGCCCACATGCCATGGGTCTAGTCAGCCTCATGCAGGTGCATGCAGGCGCAGGTCATCTGGACAGAGAATTCAAGCTCCTGGGTCCCTGCTAGGAGGTCAGGAAGTGGGGAAGGGAGTTGCAGATTCCACAAGGGCACATTCCCTTCTACCTACGGACTTTCCACTCCCTGGGGAGGAGTGCAGATGAAGGAGGGCCTCAGGCCAGGGCCCTGGATCTGTATATGGTACTAAGTGGTATACAGGGTAAGCTGAGGCAGGAGGCTGAAGAGAGGGTCTGTGGATGGTCCCTCTGCTTGAGGAGCCTCTGGGAAGCAGGGCCTGACACTTCCCAGAGGAAGGCTGGGGGAAATGTCTGTGAACTTGGGTTGGGTCCAGGCTCCACCACATGCTGGCTTTAGCTGGGTGGCTGCTAATGCTTTGGTGCAAATTAGAAAAACGTGACTCAGCAAGAGTTGCAGGGGCTGGATTTCAGCCTTCTCTGGTCCCCTCTGGTAGGATGTAAACTTCAGGGCCATTGAGGACCCAACGAGAGGGGAAATGTGCTTTCAGTGATCTGACCCGCCTCCTGCCTTCCCAGAGCTCCAGGTAACACAGCATGAGGGGTGTGGTCCTTGTCAGCCAGTGGCAGGCACAGCCAGCCCATGCCAGGTGTGGTCCCTCTGTGAGCCACTTGGCCCATCAGACAGAACATGGCTACACATTCACCCTGACCCCACCCAAAAGGCCCTCCCCTGCCACACGCTGCTGGGCCCTGCAGCTCCTCTCTGACATGTGTGCCCCTCCTGCCTGCTCCAAACTTCCCTCCACCATCCCCAACTATGGTGCTGAGGCTGACTCCCTCCCACTGCACAGGACCTGAAGGCACTGATGCTAGGCACTCCCAGAGCCCCCGGGGCATGGGAGGAAGAGGTGATGGAGCGCCCCTAACTGACAGGAACACCCAGGCTGCTGGCAGCTAGGAGGGCCCATCCTGACATCTCAACATCTTCCTTCTCTCCATCACCACCGTGGGCTGTGAGTCAGGCCCACAGGATATTCCTGGATAGCTGGCAGAGTCATGCCGCTTCTTGGGGTAAGTCACTCCCCAGTTGCTATTAAAGACAGGGTGGGGAACAGGGAGGATGGGGAGGCAGAGATACTGAACTTCGCCCCTCGGTTTAGTGGCTGGCTGAGGCAGTACATGCTACCCCACAGGCCTGTTCGGAGGCATCAAACAGGCTCTCTGACCTGCTGGAGTGGTCGGGAGGAGGGGAGGGCGCTCGGCAGGGGTGGCGGTGTGTGGGGATAGCCCTCTCCAGCTTCAGTGTGTAAAGGTGCCTGGGAGGGGAGTGAGGGCTGGCCTGGGGCTTCGAGGGGACTAAGGCTGGGTGCTGGTGGGCACAGGTGCTGGCTCCAGGCAGCAGCTTCCACAGCAGGGAGGCTGCAGGTGTGTGCCTCGCCTGGGCAGGTGTGTGACAGACCCAGGAGGCAGGTGAGACAGGCCCCGATCATCAAGATGCTAGTGCTTCAGCCGGGGGAGGTCATGGGCTCTGACAGACCCCTCACGCCTGCCCGCCACTCTGCTCTTTACCCAGCCTTTCCTGACTCCCTGGGCCTGGCGGAATCATCTCAGGACCCCTGCAGCACACGCTGGCTCTGTGTGCAAAGCTGCAAAGTGTTCCTGGTGTTGCTGCACGCAGTTCTCTTCACACAGGCTGAGCGTCCAGCCTTCAGGCCTTTGCCCTGCCTGTCCCCCTGCCTGACGCAGGGGCCTACCTGTCCTTCCATACCTGGCTCAGCTCAGTCATGGCTCCACCAGCCCATCCCTGAGTGGGAGCACCTGCCACTCCCTGCTGTCGGAATGTCTGCCGCGCGTGTCTGCTGTCTCCTGACACCTGCACCCTCTGCTTTGCGTCTTCTCTCCTCAGCTGGACTGCGCTTCACCTGTGTCCCTCCCCTGCCTGCTGTGTGGTTCCTCAGTGTAGGTCATCACTGGATGAAGGACACAACTTTCCCCATTGCTCGGTAGCAGTACTTTTGCTACAGGTGTTACCACTCTGTCCCCTAGAACTATGACCTTCTAGGGAACAGGGACCACATCTGAGGTTGCTTCTGGCTCCTCCACAGTGTCTGGTATGGTGCTGGGGCTAGACATATGCTTGGCAGACATCCACTGATTAAGACGCAGGAGTGCACTTTCTAACAGAGTACACCTATGAGATGGCAGGAACTGGCTGGAGCATGCCAGCCCCATGCTGGGGACAGTAGCTTCATCTTTTTCTGATCTGAGAGTAGCACAGAACAGTTACCGTAGTTAAATTTGCACCAGAGGTCCTCAGCCTGGCACAATTTTGCACCCAGTGGGTATCTGGCAAAAGGAGTATCTAGAGGGTCGAGGCCTGGATGCTAAGCATCCCACTGGGCGCAGGGCAGTCTCCTGCAGTGAAGAATGATCTGGCCCAAGATGCCAGCAGTGCCGAGGTTGCAAAATCCTGGGTCACACATTTACCTTCAGGTTCTCAGGCTGATGCTGAGACTTGATTTGCTTATGTTTCACTCTTGTTACCCAGGCTGGAGTGCAATGGCATGATCTCAGCTGCAAATTCCACCTCCCGAGTTCAAGTGATTCTCCTGCCTCAGCCTTCTGAGTAGCTGGGATTACAGATGCCTGCCACCATGCCTGGTTAATTTTTTGTATTTTTAGTAGAGATGGGGTTTCACCATCATGGCCAGGCTGGTCTTGAACTCCTGACCTCAGGTGATCTGCCTGCCTTGGCCTCCCAGAATGCTGGGATTACAGGCATAAGCCACCGCACTCGTCCCCAAGGAATGTTACCTAGCTCCCAAGGAGCCGGAAATGAACATGGACGGAAGCTTGTGCAGCACTGCACCTACCTGCGAGGGCAGGAGGCAGGAGGCTGCTGGCCTTGACACAAGGAAGGATCAGGGAAGCCTATATTGCTTCAGCTCACATCCCCATGGGACCCAGGGGCTGGAATTCCATGAGGCCAGGGGTATCCCAAGAGTTCTGAATGCTTCCTTAGGGACCATCTGTTTCCTGAAGCAGCCGTGGATTCCTCCAGTTACCTCAGTGAGTCGATGAGGGGTGTGACGCCATAAGGTTTGTGTAAGGGGTGGACTCTAGGAAGCATGAAGAAGGTTCTGGAAATACTCTTTGCTGTCTTTAAGTTGGGTTTGGTGTTTTTTGAATTAGTATACAAAACTCAATAATAAGAACTTCTCAGATAGCCCATGTTTCCATGTAGTTAGAATTCACTGGACCTCATGTTGTCCTGTTTTCC